TTTTTTTTTTTTCCTATAGGTTGGTTATTTTTCTAGATGGTTCCAACTTCCAATCATATTTTCATCACAACTGACATATATAGTGGACAATAATACAAGAATACTATACTATGGCCACCTTTAAGAAATGGGTTTTTAAGGTTAAGATGAAAAGACCAATTAGTTGTAGGGAAATTATAATAAATAAGATCACTATATATATGGAGTGGAGATGTTCTTATTTATTTATTTTATTTTATTTTTTTGATTATTTTTTTATCTTTGTAGATAGTTGTAAAAGTTTGTATTAGAATGTTCAATGGTGAGTTGTCCCACATTGTTTATATAAGGAAAATAGACCTAATTTATAAAACTAATTATGGGCTACTTCTCCTTCCACCAATTGGTTTTGGGATGAAACTTTACTTGTGCTTCATCTGGGCTTTTCCTCTCATGGTGCGTTTATTATTATTATTATTATTATTATTATTATTATTATTATTATTATTATTATTATTATTATTATTATTATTATTATTATTATTATTAATGGGCTAGTATATATACTGGGAATCTTATATAATGGGCAGTGCTGGGATTTATTTATGAGTATTGGAATTTCGTAGTTAGATTCAGTATCTTCAGTATCTCTCTAATAATTTGCTGTTTGCATTGATCTGGTGAAAAGTCATTAATGTACATTTCTATCATAGTGTTGGTAGATATTTTCATAGTTCAAAAGATAACACTTATATTATATTTAATTTATCAAGCAAGTCATGTGATTTTGGTGGTAATTATTATTTAATTTTGTCAAAATCTAGCTAGCACTATAAAAAAAAAATTAATCATTTTCGTTGATTACTCAACAAAATTAGGTGCCTTCCTCAATATCTCTATTATTATACATAAGACAGGTGATCAACATGGGTGAAAATTCCTAATAAAATAAAATAAAAGGTTAGGGTGGGATTATAAGTCTTTTTTTTTCCCCTCAATAGTTCTTATATATGAAGTGTACCACCCCCATTATTAAGACTCATCATATCTCAATTCAAAATAGCCATGTGATAATGTTTTATTTTTTTTGCATATATATATATATATATTACATAATGTAAAAAAAATTATCATGATGAAGCTTTTTATGCATGTGTTACATGATATGTAAGTATTATATTATAGTTTGGTCTATATGTGTTGAATGTAGATGTACATGGTAATGCATATTTCATTGATTGAATGAATAATATGTATACATACCGATGTCGTATTTATTTATACATATATCATTTACTTAATAAGTCGAAATCGAACGAGTTGTTCGCATAAAACGATTTACATTCTTCTTCCTGTACAACCAAGAATTCTAGCGACATAAATATGGTGACTTTTATAATAAGTGTAAGTAAAATAGAAACTAACACAGAGCTTTTTAGAAGGCGTTATAAAACTAAAATAAAAGCGACGCTTCTTAGAAGATAAGATAACCTATAGACAACGTGGTAGGAAAATTCATAACAGAGTTCGACTACAACGATCGAATCGATTATTTCATGCACAAGCATACTAGTAAAAAAAAATGAAAATCATCATAAATGTAACATAAAATAGAACATTAGTGGAATTATGTTGAGATCCTATATATCCCCTATTATGATAAGTTAATAATAATATCATCAAATTTATCAACTCTACACGTAATAACTATGGACCAAAAAAAAATGCAACATATTATCTACATTAATGCATTAATTGAAAAAATAAACAATAAAATAAAAAAAAAATGTCTTGTTAATCGCCTAACTTTCATGCATAGCTGCCTAATTCGAATGTGGAATTTAGAGAAAGAGAGGACATGACGTTAGAAAGTGATGCATCCTAAGACCTTAGCTGGTTCATCAAAGGATTTTTTTTTCTTTATTTATTAAATTACAAAAATAACCTTTTCACCCTATTTTTGTTAGGGTAAAATACGTTTTCCCATCTGAACTATCACGGTTTTGGCGCATCACCATATAGACTATTTTTTTTTACAAACTACCATATGAACTATACAAGTTTGTCAATGTGCCCCCTAAACCAGATATAAAAGTGGTTTTGACTGAAAAAGTTGTTTGGTCACCATATGTGCCCCCTAAATACTTTTACAAACCACCATATGAACTATCACGGGTTTGTCAATGTGCCCCTAAACCACTTTTATATCCAGTTTAGGGGGCATATTGACAAACCCGTATAGTTCATATGGTGGTTTGTAAAAAAAAATAATTTATATAGTGATGCGCCAAAACCGTGATAGTTCGGGAAGAAATATTTTACCCTTTTTGTTACCATCAATCAAAATATTCTTCACTTTCCCATCACATATCAACTTGGAGAAAGCTCATTTGGCCACCACTTTTGCAGTGGGCTTCACAAAATGCTTCCCACAATTTGGCGCACTTCTATGCACATAAACCATCTTGCAAGGGAGGGAAAAATAAATAAATAAATAAATAAATTTAATTAATAAAAAAAAGGAGGATAAAAGAAGGGCATGAAAGATGGTGAAGACGAGTGCCAAGTGTAAAGTGTAGACGAATCAAATAGAGACATATACCAATGTTCTAAATTGTTTAAATTTTATTGGATTTGAAAGCTATGGTCAAATTTCGCTTTCATTGTTGGCTTAATCAAACATTACACGTTTTTTTTTTTTTTTAGTTAATCAAAGAGTAGTTTAATATTCTAAACATATTGTTGATTTTTAGAGAAATACTGCGGTCCCGTTACGGAATTATTTTGTCGAGATTTGTAACCATTAGATCATCATGCAACCGTCGGGGATAGTTGTTTTAACGGTTACGAACCCCGACGGAATGATTCCGTAACGGGACCGTAACATTTTTGTATTTTTAACTAATTGAGTCCAACTTGATTTTGGTCCTACTACTGACGTAGAGTAAAATCTTGGAGTTAATCGAATTGAAAAGTGCATCATATATACTACGTTAATTAACAACAACAACAACAACAACAACATTGTCTTTTTGTCCCAAGCAAGTTGAGGTAGGCTAGAGATGAAACACAAGAGAACCAATGGTAAGAGAAACACAAAAATGAATCAAAACAAAAGGAAGAGAATAGAGCAAAGGAGAAAGGAGCAAAAGTCACGGTACTGGAACGTTCATTCCTAGCCTCCAAACGCTCCTATCCATCGTTAAATCCTTAGAGATATTCCAATCTTTAAGGTTTCTCTTAACCGACTCTTCCCAAGTGAATTTATGCCAACCTCTACCTATTTTTACATCATCGACCCACTGTAGAACTCCTCTACACACTAGTGCATCAGGAGGTCTCCGTTGGATCATCACAAATCTTAATCCAACGGTGAGAAACTCACAGTTGTGTGTTAATATTGTTGCAGCAGGCGCTGGCATCCACTGTTTGGGGGCATTTTCTTTTTATCATGACTGGATTTTTCGCTGTTGCCTCTTATGGAAGCCTCATAAACTAATATATATGTGCTTCCCAAATTCTAGTTGTGCCCCAGTCAAAAGCCACATATCGTATTCACAGTCCCATTCATCAGTGGGAAAATTTTTTAAAAAGTCAACCACCAAAAAGCACCCAATCAGAAGCAATTTTAGAGCCACCCCCCCGCATAATTAGCAATATCTTGAAGAGACCAAATTAGAATCTACAAGTGGGCAAGCCTGTTCAATGACCTGAAAATTGAAGATTAAATGGCCACAGAACAATATACCTAACAAGTCAAAAAAAACATCATACTAAATCTAGCCCAAGTATGATAATATTCTTAGAAAGAATGTCTGCAACTAGTTTAAGGATTTAGCTAACAGAGGAATCAACTCCCGTTCAGACATATACTTCTGTTTTACAAATTGCACCTGACCTATTGATATTCTTGTTACACGCTAACCTTCAAGCATTTTCTCTTTTCTTTTGGAAATTAGTCGAAACCTCAGGAGTACTTCATGCAATTATATTTTTTCCTAAAAGGAGAGGAAAAGGAGTTCCGAATCTATATAGATCCCCCTCGTACCCACCTGCCCGGTCCAGTTCTTGAACCATAGTCACCGACATTGGCCACAAACAGTGGATCCCTCTCATCATCAAGCGTATGGTCGTTACCAGACGAGTCATTTTGCTCTGCATGCTCGATTTTTTCGAGCTCTTTCGTCAAATCATCCATTGTCTTCTTTAAAGTGGCCTTGCTCATCTTCGACGGGTCCCCATTCGAGATACCTACCATGGTTATCTTGGGGATGAATGGAGATGATTGTGCCTCTCGTCCCCTGTGTTGTCGGGTCGAAGTTGAATCTCTGCATTTGGAAAAAGATGTGATGTGGTACCGAGGCAAGTGAAATGGGAAAAGGATAAAAATTGATTGGGTTAAGTACAAAATCTGACCGAGGTTTAGACTACTTACACGAAAAGACAGTTATCATTAGGTAATTCTATAGTTGTTTATTGAAGATAGCTGATTTATAGTTGGCCAAACCTCAAGTTTTATCATTAGTAATTGCACAAAACAGGATCAAATAAAGGTGATGAAAAAAGAAAAGGGGAAAAAAAAAGTCCAACAAGAAGCGCATGGTGAAAACCTTGTGTCTAACGGGTTCTGCTGATTTTCTTGTTCTTTTGAGAAAGGATGAGCAAACCAATCTCCGAAAGGGAACTGGAAATTTGGAGTCTCCCCTTGTTTATCGTGATTTTTGTCCTTCCCTTCCACTTCTAAAGTGGCAGGACTCTGAAGTTGGGCATCTTCCACAAATCCAGTGTTTGAAATTAAGCGAGACCGATTTTGGGCTCTCAGTAAAGAAGCTGTGCTCCTGCAATAGGAGATGTTATGACAAATCCAAAGAACTAAATAAAAAGGAAAATGGAGAAAAGAAGGGACCAAAAATGTTACGACTGACACTCCCAATAAATGTTCACAAGCTACTTGAAAGACTTTGGAAGAGTTTGCAAACATGTTTCATATTTATATCATTATAAAATAAAAAACTATCCGAATTTAGATGGACAATCATCTAAAGCAGGGAGAAAGAAACAATATGGTGCCTCAACTTCAGAATAAAGCATTATTACAATACCACACACTAGGTAAACCAATTATAAGTAGTATTCAAGTAGGTAAGACACAAATGCAGCAAACAGCAGGACGAAAAAAGTAAGAATGTCAACAATTCAGGATGTGTCAAGTAGTGAAGGAAAAGGGGAAAGAGTAATGGAGAAAAAAAATGAAAGTTCAGGTTGTACTTTCTCTCAAACGAGTCAACCATGTACTGAAATTTGGGTTGAATTCCAGTGGCCTTCCGCATCCATCTGTTTCCGAGAAGAACCTTGTCAACAGCATACATAAGTTGTATCTCGGCAGCCTTTGAAATGATGCTCAGTGGTATAGTAGGATAACCCACTTCATCTAGTACGTCCTGGACCTATCAGAGGCACAAGTAAACAGAATAATCCTTTATTAATGATAATGACTAAAAAACTTTAAAAACAAAGAATAAAGAACATTCGCAAAAAGAAAAGGAAAGAAAGACAAAACATACATACACACAAAAAACAAAAAAGAAATAAAGAAAAAGAAGCAAGTAATGCTTTCAGCTATATTCAATATAATATTACAGAAAGCTCCTCCTACATTGTTTCTATTTTTTTCTTTTTGGGCCAGATTTGGTGTGATCTATTGATTTCTGGATAAAATTTTGCAGCAAGTGAGAGACAGATTGTGCACCTCTGGAGGGTCCCACATGCTCTCTCCCATCTCTTCAACAGCCTCGGCAGTCAGACTGTCGTCAAAACTATCATCCCCATGACGTTGAAAGTGTCGAGTTTCAATTAATGCTTGGAAATGTTGATCCATGGAATCTTCTAGAATATTATCCAGCATATTTTTGTCAAAAAAGTAAGGAGTATACCTGATAGAGTGAAAATGTCGCGAGATCCAGAAAGTGAAAGGTTGAAATTCTGTTGAATGAATGTGAGGAATTGCACAAAGCAAATACATAAACACAAAGACGCAAAAAATGCACTATAACACTTCAAATATTCTAGCAATTTTGTCATTCAGATGTTTATTGGCCACTTACTAAGTTTTGAATCCAATATTTCAGGATGTGCATGACACGATGTCATTGGTTCAACGTGTCCTTTTATTGTGGGATGGTGAAAAACTTAGTCAGAGCAATTTTACTATATGCTGACAATTTTCGGTTACTTAAACGTGAAATTCTGTGAGAACTTGACAGGTCCGTGGTAAATACTACTACGCACATTTGAAGAAACATTTGAAGAAGGAAATAAGTGGTCAGATATCGTAGATATATTTGAGTTGCTTGATGTACAGGGAATGAACTGTTTACCTGTGTCCTCCTACCAAGAAAACAACAGGAGAAGTTCTCTCACTCAATACTATATACAGTACATAAACATAACATACCACTTGATGCCATCATTTGTTGCTATTGCAATGTCCAAGTTTTGAGCACTAAAAACAGGAACACCGTCCACTTTCATTCTCTCATCGTTCTGCGGCAAGCTTTTCAGAAGCTTGTTGGCTTCCTTGACCTGTAAAGAAGTAAATTATGGAAGTTGGAGATTGAATGGCATAATACCTAGCATCCATGTGATATGGAGGTTTAAAAAATTTTTAATATCAGCTTGTGCCTAACCTGTCTTTGATTTGGAACAAACTGAAACAGGTGAGGCTTCTCCTGCATCACATGGGACATACAACAAATTATTTGAGCTAGTTACTTTTACAAGAAACCACATCTATGTGATCTAAGAGCAAATTGTATGATCTCGTGATGATAATGATATTCATACTTTGTCAACCCAAAAATTTAAGAAATGGAGTTTCAGATAAACGAGCATTCTGTGGAAAATGCGGCCACCATTTCAAATTATAACTTTTGCATCAAATTTAATAACTGGCCCTTTTACTATTCACAACTATATTTAATATAATGAATTAATAACATTCTTATATGTGTAGGAAGAGCATCATTTAATTCTATAACATGTGAAAGTAAGGTTGTAATAGCAATATAAAAAAGCTACAATTCAGTATACCAAGTAATAAACACTGATACTGAGCAAGGAAGAACCTTGAAATGCTCATACGCAATATCAAGACGGCAAGCACCAACCACCCCACTTGGTATATTCAGCTGTTTTACATAAGAAACTGCAAACAAGATGAGTTTAGAAACATTGTCGACTCGAGGCATTAAGCATTTCACCAAAACAATTATCAAAAGTGAAGGCCAAATACCATATCACAGTGCAACTTGAGAATAGACTGGTAAGTGGTAACCCTTTAGCTAAATACTAACTCAATTAACCAAACATGACCAAATGAATAACGACGACGAAAGTGGGAAATGAGCTAACAAGGTGGGGGATGATAAACTACAAGAGTTAAGCAAGAAAATTGTTAGCTGAATATGATCTTCCTAGCAAAACAAAGTGAAGAGCATGCCATAAAACCATACCAGCATCGCCCAAATCCATGAAGAAACGAAATACAGGACCATTTCTTTCACTTTTAGTGACTGCAGAAAAGATCTTCTTTAGCCACTCTGGTGTTCTGTCAGCAAATGAGAAAATAGTATAATAAAGTAGATGCCTGGCAGGCAGCAGCAAATGGGAATGCAAAAATAATGCTAATACATCATTACTAAAACAAGCACAAGTAGTAAAAAGCGTTCAGGCACGATTAATGCGCCTACCAGAAGCCACATGGGAAAACAAATATGACACTAAACTAAATATAAATTCAATGATCTTCAGGAACTAACAGTGAAATATGAGTGCGCCTTTTGGACTGTGCACCGACATACTTTGCTTCTGTTTACATTATTTATCGTTTAGACCTCTCAAATAACAAAATTCAGATCCTAAGTGGTGTCTAGCCCCCAAGACAACACTTCATCACACAAAAAGCCTGAATAGATTTCAATAAAATTCAATAATAACAATAAACATGCTGACATGATTGGAAACCTTGGCATGCTTATTCCTTTCCAATTCCAGCACTGTGAAGAACTTCAGTTATCTTAATTTCAGCTGAAAACTAAACCTAAAACAATTAGTAGCATCAACTTAAATGGCGAATATATTCTACTAAAGCAGAATAACAAAAACACAATGAGTATATATATTCTACTAAAGCAGAATTACAAAAACACAATGAGTATATGAATCGGATGATTCTACAAACAACTTCATCGAAGCTTCATAAATTAAAACAGTAATGATTTGATATTTTGAAATTCTGACTTCTGGTAAGGACTGAAACTTAGCCCCAATACCTTTTGGATAGAAAAGGGATGTCAAAATGAGTGGACACGGCCATCAAACCAGTGCCGGTAAGGTCGCACATGCTGAAAACCTGGCCGACAAAAGCTGGTCCACCGCCTTTCCCGGTCGAGATTTGCATCGGTGATGATAACCTCGACCCGGTGTCCGGAGATGGCACGCCCTTGACTGTCGAGGGAGACAGCGGAGAATTTGACCGCATCTGGGAAGCCGATTCGATCGGAGCCGAAGCGGACGGTGAAACGAGTGAGAGAAACGGGTCCGGGAGGAGGAGAGGGAGGTGGAATTTAGATGAGAGTCGCGGCGGAGACGGTGGTTTTGGGGATAGGAGAGAGGTTATGTTGGTGGAGGCGGCATGGAGGAGTCGGGAAAGGTTAGGGCCGGCGGGACGGCGCCGGCGGTGGCGGGTATCCGGGGTGGAGGCCATGGGATGAGGTGTAGTAGCGGAGAGAAGGAGAATCCGAGAAAAATCTCGTCCGCGAGAGAGAAAATTGCGTTTCGAAGCCTTCGAGGCAATTTCACCAGAGCCCGCTCCGGCCCGGCTTGCAACTTTTTGGGCAGGCGATGAGGCGAATCCAAAACGGGTCAAGTCGGGTCCCCCAATAAGGTCGTCGACAATATGCTGGTCCAACTAGGGGCTTGTTTACAAAATAATTTTTAAATAATTTGTCCAAATTGAATTATTTTGATGTAAAAGTATGAGATAAATGATGAAAAATGATTGGAAATGATAGATAGTTACAATTATATGAGTAGATGATTAGTGAATTAAAGTTGATGTGATGTGTAACAAAAAGATTGTTTGGTATTATTTAATTATGTGAATAATATTATATATAAGTTAAAGTTTGAGTTAGATTTTGAATATCAATTAAATGATAGTTATATAATTTATAAACAAGCATGCCCTAAAAATCGAGCTCCTCCATTGCTCAATGATGTTTCGAGAGCATATTGAAATTGAAATGGAGTTTGGAAGTATGTAAGAATGGGATTGCAAAACTCATATTTGCATATTCGAATCTAACTAAATCGAAGCATGCCAATTTGGTTCGGTTCCTAGTTTCGACATAGCTATTTTGACGGTTCAGTTATTTAGTTATAATTAGTTCCATAATAATCTTATGCATGTGAATGAATCGAAGAAACGAGGTTATTAAAAAATAATATTTGAGTATTATGACGAAAAGTGTGTAAAATTATTATTTTTTTATATTAAAAAATAAATATATATGTTAAAATATTTTTTATATTAATATAAACGGGTTAACGAGTTAATATATAGTTAAAATAAAATTTCGGAAAAATATTTTAAAATACTAAACCCCGTGCATCGCACGAGATTCTCACTAGTATTCAATATTTTAAAATATTTTTTTTATTTATATATTTTGAATATGATTTTCTTAATTAGTGTATAGGAGTTGTAAATTGTATAATTCATCAAAGTTTACACTTATTTCCACCATAAACTAGTATTTGATCATGTGCACATGCACAGAAATTTAAATTATCATAACTTATAAAATACGTGTATGTATATAATTTTAAAATTATAAATTAAATAATAGTATCACATTTTAAAAATTTGTCATAGTGAAGATGAACATCATAAGAATATCAAAATTCATCACTATATTTATTATATAAAATAAAATGAATAATTATTTTCTTAAAATTCAACTAATATACTGTACAATTTTGGATGAAAATTTTGAATTTGAATGAGTTGGTGTAACGATCTTTATTACAAAAGATTAATTTTCTTATATGTATTTTGCGTTGTATCTCTAGCATATCAATACTTAATACTTATTTTGCATGTAAATAGTCAACATACAAATTAGAAAAATATTTTTAACTATTCAAATTAAGGATTTGAACATTATCTCGTACCCATATTCTCCAAATATTGAGAAATAAAAAATAGTATTCGCATGCAACTGTTACAAATCCAAAAATAGTAAAAAATAGTTGGATGATTGTACGGAATAAATTGAAAGGAAAAAAAAAATGTTGTACCCTTTTTTGGATAAAGGTCGTAAAATTTTATATTAAATACAACTTATTTTTATTAAATGAACTCATATTAGGCTATGTTTGATAAAATTAGCTGATAAGCTAGCTTATAGCTTATATGTAGGGTATGTTTGGTATGACATATAAGCTAGCTTATAGCTTATTTGATTAGCTTATAAGCTTCCTGTATTAAATAAGCCCTGTTTGGTAGGACGAGCTTATTTAAAAAGCTCGAGCTTATTTGATAAGCTTGTTTAGGTAGCGTTTCAAAATAAGCTCGTTGAATTTTTTATTTCAGCTAGCTTATAAGCTACTTTTACCAAACACTTTTATCATATAAGCTAGCTTATAAGCTATAAGTCATAAGCTATAAGCTATAAGCTAGCTTATCACATATAAGCTATAAGCTAGCTTATCAGCTATCAGCTAGCTTATCAGCTAGTTTTACCAAACACACCCGTAATTTTTGAGCTTATAGCTTATAGCTTATGACTTATAGCTGAAAAGCTAGCTTATATGATAAAAGGTGTTTGGTAAATTAGCTGATAAGCTAGCTGAAATTAAAAAATTCAACTAGCTTATGAAATACGCTCGAGCTTTTTAAAAAAGCTCGTCCTACCAAACGAGGTTTATTTTAAACAGGGAGCTTATAAGAGCATCCACAATGCTTTGGGTCTCTTTTTGCATATGTGGCAAATAAATAGACTTAAGTCCATAATGACATGGACAAACCCAAACTAAAAAATCCAAAATCTATCCAATGCAAAACAAAAAAGTACTAGGTCTAGAATACATGACAACCAATAAAAATGCTATAATATATTTCATTTATTAAAAGAAAAACTAAATGAGGAATAAATGATGAGTGTTTGGGTTTGTACTTGGGTCTAAAATAGACCCAAGTGTGGACTAGGTCTCATTTTTTTATTGCCACATAAGCTAGACTAGGTCTACATTTAATTCCATTGGAGAACACTTTTTTATAGACTAGGTCTATTTCTTACATGGCATGTAACTTTTTTCTAAGAGCATCCACAATGCTTTGGGTCTCTTTTTGCATATGTGGCAAATAAATAGACTTAAGTCCACAATGACATGGACAAACTTAAACTAAAAAAATCGGGAAAAATTCAAAATTAGTCCCACAGGTATAGGGGGGTGACATTTTTGGTCCCAACGGAATCCAGAAAATATTAATAGTCCCGCAGCTTTTAAAAAATGATCAAAAGTAGGACTTTTTTCAATTTTCCGACCCGGAATGCCACGTGGCCACATTCATCTGACGTGGCGAGTACAATGGCAAGGAAAAAAAATCAAAACTAGTCCCACAGGTTTTGGGAGGTGACATTTTTGGTCCCAAAAAAATTCATAAAATCTTAAATAGTCCCGCCACGTGTGTGCCACGTGGCATACCGGGCCGGAAATTGAAAAAAGTCCTACTTTTGATTGTTTTTTAAAAGCTGCGGGACTATTAATATTTTTTGAATTCCGTTGGGACAAAAAATGTCACCCCCCTATACCTGTGGGACTAGTTTTGAAATTTTCCCTAAAAAAATCAAAATCTATCCAATGCAAAACCAAAAAGTACTAGGTCTAGAATACATGACAACCAATAAAAATGCTCTAATATATTTCATTTATTAAAAGAAAAACTAAATGAGGAATAAATGATGAGTGTTTGGGTTTGTACTTGGGTCTAAAATAGACCCAAGTGTGGACTAGGTCTCATTTTTTTATTGCCACATAAGCTAGACTAGGTCTACATTTAACTGCATTGGAGAACACTTTTTTATAGACTAGGTCTATTTCTTACATGACATGTAACTTTTTTCTAAGAGACCCAAAGCATTGTGGGTGCTCTAAGCTAACCAAATAAGCTAAAAGCTAGCTTATTTGGCTTACCAAACATACCTTTAATATTAATTTAAGGCTGAATAAAATTAAATGAATCTTGCCCATAATTATATATATATATATATTGATTTCTTGCAATCCCGCAAAGTCAACTTTTGTCCTCGCCATGAAATGCAAAGGCTAAATTCGGGCAAATGCGTAACAGTATGTCCGTTGCCCTGACGGCACACTGAAAACTCCGAAAAAAGGAACCAAATCCAAGAGAAACTCGCTGTTTCCCTCTGACAATCTTCGCGCCATCGGACTGAAACCAGTTTTCGCGTACCCTTTGCCGTCGCAAAGCCCCAGATCTTGAGATTTGATCTCAGCATTTAGGTAATTTCATGTAAAAATCCTTGTGTCAAGTTTACCCCTTTCCTAATCGATCATGTTTTTAGCCTTTTTATGGTTGATTTTGCTTGTGATTGTTATTAGGGTTTTTGATTTGATGCGTGATTTTGTTGATTCGTGTCTCCATTTTTAGTTGGTTTTGTAGAGGTTATGACTTCTGATATAGCTCAGAGATTCCTTTTAATTATAGAGAGAGAGAGAGAGAGAGATTTAAAGAGAGAGATTTAATTTGTTTCTCATTTTTTTTTTTTTTTTCTGTATGGGTTTTTCATTCTTATGTGGGTTGTGATTTAATTTGTTTTTGAATTGAGTTTTCTTGTTTAAATGGGTGTAATCTTCTGAATGTTAATATTCTTTCCATAGGAAAACTCATAGAAAGGGCTGAATCTGAGTTTTCACCTGTTTGAAATGGCAAAAACATATATCAGACTTATTTTTGAATATCCTCTAATTGTCTATCCTTATGATTTCTAGTTGCTGTTCGTTTTGTCTCTGTCTATGCGATAATGATTCTAGACCTGTGAGAGTAGCTTGTTTTCGTAACTTTCTTTTCATATATTCTTAGTTATTTTCGTCTTAATCCTTTCTTTTTTTAATGGTAAACGTGCATTTGTAGGTGTATTTTATGGTAGTAGCAAAGGATTAAGCTGACTCATGGCTGATTCAGAAGAAAATAATGCTTTGTTTCCAATTTTCATCTTATCGATGATTGCTCTGCCTTTGGTTCCTTACACCATATTGAAATTATTCCGTGCTGCCTCGAAGAAAGCAAAGAGCATCCACTGTGGTTGTTCTGATTGTACTCGGTCAGGGAAGTACCGTAAATCAGTTTTTAGTAGGGTAGGTATATTTTGTTAAACCACTATTAATTTATTTTAGCAATTGCAGGCCTATATTAGTGATTATATATGTTTAGTATAAGTTACATTTTGTTTTCTGTTTCAGATTACAAATGTCTCAACGTGTGGTAATTTTACTCTGGTACTGCTGTGGGTCATCGTGGTGTTTCTTGTTTATTACATAAAGAACATGAGCAACGAGGTATCCATGTATAACTAGTTATGCTTATATCTGAAAAACTCTTCTTCGTCTTATTCTTGTGTTCTTGCTCTTCATTTTCCACTGCTCGCATGTGTTGATAAATGCTCTTCTTGTTCTCACTGAATCATTTTCTTGTGTCAACTCAGATTCAGGTCTTTGAGCCGTTCAGCATTCTTGGGTTAGAGCCTGGAGCATCAGATTCTGCAATCAAGAAGGCTTATAGGAGACTTTCCATACAATACCATCCTGATAAGAATCCTGACCCAGGTTATTCAATTGTCGCTTTTAAACACACTCACACTCGCACTCAAACTCAAACTCACATATGTTTGTATTATATTTATTGTTTTCCTGCATTTCTTAAGATCACTTTGATTTTAAATTTCAGCTGCTCATAAGTTCTTTGTGGAGTCGATATCCAAAGCTTACCAGGCTTTGACTGATCCAATCTCTCGGGAGAATTTTGAAAAATATGGCCATCCTGATGGTAGGCAGGTAACCTTAAACAGTGATTCTAATGGATAAATTAAACATATAAAGGATATAAAATTATATTGAAAACTTGAATGCGTAGTTGAAGTCATAATTTTAGTGTAACATGTTATGATACTTGTGCAGGGATTTCAAATGGGGATTGCTCTTCCTCAATTTCTTCTTAATATTGATGGTTCATCTGGAGGGTTATTGCTGTTGTTGATTGTTGGCATATGTATATTGTTGCCACTTGTGATGGCCGCTGTGTATCTATCAAGATCTTCAAAATATACTGGAAATTTTGTCAAGAATGACACTCTGGCTGCCTATTTTCATTTGATGAAACCTTCATTGGCACCGAGGTACTTATCTATTCCATTAGTATTTTTGTTTACTTCGCTTGTGCAAGATACACATTAAGGGGCGATTGGATATAGTTTCTACAGTAGAAAAACCAATCAAAACTCAAATTTAACTCAACTTTAACCCAACCCCACTATCTCAAATATTATCAGTGTAATTAAATAATATCAACCAATCATTCTTACACATCACATCAACTTTAATTCACTATTCATCCACTCACATAATTTTAACTAATTATCATTTCGAATCATTTTTCTCCTACTTTAACTCACATCAACTTTAATTATTTTATTTAAATATTATTTTAATATATCCACTAACAAATAACCATACCACTTCTTTTCAAAATGAACTATAGTTAAAAGACAATCCAAATAAAAACTAGTTGAATCCATAAACAATCACCCCCTAAATATTTTAAGCACTTTACAATCACAAATGTCGAAGTAAAGTGAAACCTGAACTGGGACTGTTGAACGCCTATAGTTCAATGACTACTGAAGTGTATTGTAGTATCTGTACCTAGATAATTTTTTATGTGAAATTAATCCATAACTACAATCTTCTCATTGAGAAAAGAGACGAAACTGTATCCTCTTCATTCAGTATTAACTACGGTTAATTTTCAATTGCATTAAATGGGAGCATTGGTGAAGGTAATCCCATGTTAACATAGTCCTTTGACATTGGCCCTTTTGAGAAGTAGATTATTATTAATTATTTGTCTTACTCCAGTGAAACATGATATGATGCTGATCATAATATATCTTGCAGCAAAGTCATGGAGGTCTTCATTAAGGCCGCTGAGTTCTTGGAAATTCCTGTTCGAAGGTCGGACGATGAACCTCTTCATAAGCTCTTCACGGCTGTAAGAAGTGAACTGAACATAGACCTGAAAAATAATAAAAAGGAACAAGCAAAATTTTGGAAGCAGCATCCTGCTCTTGTGAAGGTAAAAACATGAACCTTTTAGGCAACGAATTTTGAATTTCCCTTGGATTTCGATAGCTTTTATATTGTCTTGACTATCATTTGCATTCTGCGTTCATCAGACGGAGCTGTTAATTCAAGCACACTTGTTGCGAGAAACGGCATCTTTAACTCCAGACTTGGAACGTGATTGCAAGCATATGCTGGAAATTTCGCCTCGCCTCCTTGAAGAGCTAATTAAGGTAACCATCTTAGGTGTTTTTTCTGTGGATTGATTTTTATTTATGTAATAACCATGCTCATTTATTTCAATGCGTCATACCAATCACAGATGGCAATCATTCCACGCACCGCTAAGGGGCACGGCTGGCTTAGGCCTGCGATAGGAGTTATTGAACTTTCACAGTGCCTTGTTCAGGTACTAATAATCTACAAAAGATTTTAAATGCCAATCATTAAACTTTACATATTTTACATTTTGAATTGAAATAAAGCTTCCTAAAGTTCATGTAATTAATATTTCTGTTATTGATTATGGTGTAGGCTGTTCCCCTAAGTGCTAGGAAGGCAGGTTCTGCTGATGGAAACGCTCCCTTTTTACAGCTTCCGCATTTTAATGATGATATAATTAAAAAAATTTCCCGAAAGGTATAATTTGTTCACCTCTCATGAGAGTTGGTGAATATTAATATTACTATGTGGTTGCAGATTAAGAGGTTTACTTTTTCTTCTAGATAAAAGTTATTGCATAAACCATATTTTTCTAGCGGTTCAAAAAAACGTCAAACATAACTGTGAAAGAAAACCTTCACTAAAATATTACCAAGTGCCAGTTCTAGAGATCATTTTCATAAATACTACATGAATGGCATGTTGCATTAGCACCACAATTTTGTTTAGTGGGGGTGGTCATTTTTCTCTACTCCGATCTTCAATTTACACTTTAAAAACAAAATTTGAAATGTGCAAGAATTCTCTTATGTATTTAGGGTGTGATTGGATATGGATTTGATTGGTTTGTTTGTTACCATAGTTAATTTTGAAAAAAAGTGGTATGATTAGTTGTTAGATTGAATTTAATTTAAATGAAAATAGTATTTAAAATATTATTTTTAAAGTTGATTTGATACGAAGTAGGAGAAAAATGATTGGAAGTGATGGTTAATTATATTTATGTGAGTAGATTAAAGTTGATAAGATGTGTAAGAATGATTGGTTGATATTATTTAATTATATTGATAATATTGATGATAGTAGGTAGTGTTGAGTTAAATTTGAGTTTTGATTGGTTTTTTACTAGTGAAGTTTATATCCAATCACACCCTTAGTATTTACTAGTCTTGACGTGTAATTCATATTTAACACAAGGATGTCGGATTTCTTTGGTTTCTTGCTGCAGCATTAAATGATCACATTTTTCTCCCCTTTTCCTCACAGAAAGTGCGCAACTTTGAAGATTTTCAACAACTGCCCGTTCACGAACGAGCAGAGTTACTCTCCCAGGTAGCCGATTTCTCCCCTCCCGAGATCCTGGACGTCGAGAAGGTCATGGACCTGATCCCATCCCTCTCGGTCGAGCTCACCTGGGGGACCCACGGTGAGGAAGGCGCCATACAGGAAGGTGATATCATCACCTTCCAAGCCTGGGTCACTCTGAAACGTCCCAACGGCCTCATATCCGCATTTCCCCACGCCCCAAAATACCCTTTCCCCAAGGACGAAAACTTCTGGCTTTTGCTGGCGGACCCCGCCTCGAACTCCGTGTGGTTCTCCCAAAAGTTGAGCTTCAATGATGAGGCAGGCGCGGTTGGTGCCGCCTCGCTGGCTGTCGAGGAGCAGATGGAGGCGGCCGGGTCAAGCCCGGGGGAGACGAGCGCGGCCGTGAAGGAGGCGGCCGAGAGAGTCCGGGCCGGGGCCCGACTGGCCATGGGCAGGTTCTTGGCTCCGGCAGAGGGGAGCTACGGGCCGGTGTGTTATGTGCTGAGCGACTCGTGGATTGGGGTCGATGTGAAGTCGGGCCTGAAGATGAAGGTTGTGAGGAGGACGCGGGCCGGGTCGCGCGGTGGGTCGGGACCCTTTTTGGAGAATGGGGCGGAGGATGAGGAAGAGGAGGAGGAGATGGAGGAGGAGGACGAGGAGGATATCGAGAGTGAGTACAGTGAGGATGAAGAGGACAAGGGTAAGGGTAAAAATGGAAATAAGAAAGGGAGAGGTGGCGGGAAGAAGAGGGTAGAGTCGAGTGAGGAGGAGAGTGAAGATAGCTCGGATGATGACTGAGGGACATTAAAAACATGCGGCATTTGCAGGATACAATAGTTTTTTTTTTTTTTACTACTTTTTTCTTTTTACTCCCTTTTGGATTGAAAAGGAAATAATTATAATAAAATGCGACAGTTTTGATTAGACATGGATTAGAATTTAGATGTTGGAATCGGAATGAAGGCTTTAAGAGGACATGGTTTCGAAAGGTTTTTGTGTTTGGACCTTTTTTTCTTTTCTTCTTTCCTCGGAATACGAATTGGGGGGGAGCTCTCCTTCTAGCAGTTTATCAATAGGGTTAAAAATGAGCTAGTCAAGTCTATAAATTAACTCGAGTTCGGCTTGGTGATGAGCCACCTAGCAGCTTATGAAAAATAGAGTTAAAAACGAGCCAGTCAAGTCGGTAAATGAACTCGAGTTCGGCTTGGTAAAATGAGCCATAACGAGTAGATATACATCTAAACGAGTTCGAACCAACCACATCTAAACGAGTTTGAGATTGGTTGGTTTAATTAGGGTGGACTGGCTGGTTTTATCAAGACAGCCAGACAGGCCCAAGTTTCAACCCTAAATCCTACACCATCAACTTATTTACTTACAATTTATTTGGACGGTAATATTCGGCCGATCCAGTTTTACTTGTTTATGTCCAAAAGCTGATATTTTGTTAGATATTTAATAACTCGCTTTGTCCAAATGAAATCGTCACCTATTCGCGATTTCTAATCAATCCAAGTGAAATAAAATAGAACCACACATTCAAATCCTAAAGGGAAAATGCCATATTCTTTTCCCAGCCTTCTCTCCCCACATTATGAGCTGAGAAATCCTCAGCTCCACAGTTCATTCCCTCCATAACTCAACTGATCTGAGCTCCATAAGAAAATGTTGGCGATAGAGTCTCACGCCGCCGCCGCCGCCGCCTCCCGCATCTCCGCCGCCGTCAACATCCACTCTTCCACCCGCATCCTCGCACACTCATCTGCCTTTCTCATCCCGCGGTAATTACTTTCGTTCAAATCGATTTCACTCTGTTAGCTGCAGCTAGGTTTATTGATTCCAATGCGAAAAATGCAGAGTTTGTGGATAATGTTGGTTTTTTTGTTTGTTTGGAGCAGGATTAAGTATCGGAGGTGTGCTGGTAGGTTGAAGAATGCAATTTCAATTAGAGCGAGTGCTAAAAAACAGTCAGGCTCGGATTCAGGTCCGGTGAAGCCGAATGCAAAGCCGCAGAGGTATCATCCATCTGAGGAGATCGCAGAGCCGCGGTTTCTTGACAATGGCGAAGCTAAGCTCACGGCTGCCGAGACTTCGCGAACAATAATCGAGGTATAATTATCGAAATGGAACGTGTGGATCTCGTTTAAGCGGAAACTGTGATTAATGATTTTGCGGCAAGTTTAGCATCCTTGTGGCTAGATTCAATTTTGAACTGTCAGATGAAATATTAACTTTGGGTTAAGCTTCTTTTTTCTGTTAGGTGAATAGCAAGGGCACGCTGATGTTTTCTGGTGTAGACAATGAGGAAATTAGTGAGAACATATTCTGGCAAGACTTCCCTTACGTGACCGACGAACATGGAAGTAAGATACCTTTTGACGGTTGTGTTTTTGTTTGATAGTTTATTTTGTCATTATTAAGTTCCATTTTCATGTGGTCAGGTGTTTACTTTCAAGTGAAGACTGATGAGGATATCTTGCAAAAGCAAGACCTTACCTCTGAGGAAACTTTCCATGATATGTTGCAAACCGTTACATCTGAGGAAACTGTCGTGGTAAGATCAGTTGTAATGTACACAATTTTGGAGTACTGAAACTGTTGATTTGAATGATGAAGTCCTCTTTTTCTGCTCGTAGTGTGCATGTTCGTGTGTGTATGCTGCTATAAGATCAACTGTTTTGGATCCTTTGTGTTTTCCGTGTGACATAAGCAATACATGTCTGATCATAATTTAAGTTAAGAAGTGTGGATCATGAACTATATATTTGTAATGTTGAGAGATGCCAAGGTTTTCAGTTGATATATTCTACTTGTGCATGTCTAGTTGCTGTATTTCCATGCAAGTTGTAATATTCACCTGACTTCATGAGGGTTGTTGATTTTTCAACATGTAGCAAGTCATCATTGGACTTGATACTAAAGAAATGATGAGTGAGATGGAGGCACTGGGTCTTGCAGAAACGGACTTTGGCATGGATGAGCTGGATGACAGCGAGTTTGATGATGAGGACGAGGATGATGAGGAAGAGGATGATGACGAAGATGATGAAAGTGGTGAAGACGAAGATGATGAAGTAGGATGTGTTCCACTCTATTTCTTTAACCTTGCTATCAGAATTTTTGGATTTCCAGGTCATTAACCACTATCAAGTTCACGTGCAGGACTGGGAAGACATTCTTGATGAGGAGAATGGGGATGAAGAGATTGATGGGCCATTGAGAGATTGGGCTAAATTGGATACCATGCGTTCGTCTCATCCGATGTATTTCGCGGAAAAACTAGCTGAGGTAACTCCATTTTAAGGTTTTCGATTTAGAAAATGAAATGTGAAATATGTTTTTAAGACAATCCAGTTACTACTGAAGAAAATTGAGGGTAGCTGAACCATTAAGCACACAGATCTTGTCCTTTTACTTTAGTTTTACTCTTTAATTGAGATAAGGCCTGATTTTGGTCGATTTAATTGCTAGTTCGTTGATGTGAAGGTCGCTATTACGTTATATGATAAGGAGGCTGGACAATACAATTTAGGATTTGTTGGAGGTTAAGTATCATGATGAACAAATAGGAGATTACACACCTCTCCACGACGAGAGTTATTGCATTTTCACACAATTTAAGAAAACTCAATTATTATTGTTGAGAGTAATATTTGGAACTACGTTCTGAGTAACCGTATAAGCGAATAATTATCATCCTTTTCGAACTCTGTTTCTTGTTAGTTGCACCAATTAAATGAGGGCGAAAAGGCATGTAGATATAAATACTCTAAATTGAAATAAGTAAAAAGCTCGTACACCTGAAATTAGTACTGTTGACTATCTTTGTAGGACAGAGGTAGTATTTTTTTTTTCTCCCGCTTATCCTGATATCTCTTACGAGCTTCGCATATTATGATTCCAACAGCGATCCTTTTTTTTTTCTCCAATATAGGTTGTCTCGGATGATCCTGTAGATTGTATGAAACAGCTCTCTGCTGGCCTTGTTATCCATGGCCTTCTGAGGCCTGCATTCATTGAAGAACATTCTGTTATTCAAAGACAGTTATCTAATCCCGAATCTAGTGATGTGGATACAGATATAAATGTCAATGGAGGCGTACATATCAATGGGCACAGACATGCAAAAGAATTTACGAGGGATAACATGAGTTTGGATGGAGACTTGGAGAAGGATGAATCCCTGGGAAATGGATTTGCATTTTACAAGCTAGAGATGATTAAGATTCTGCTAGTTTCAGCTCAAGGAGTTCTGGTAAAGCCTTAATTTATAATACCAGTATTCCTTACACCAACCTCAATATTAACCGTAACCCTTAAATGCAATCAACTTGCATTTCGTCATAATATTTAATTTGGTGAAACTCTGCTTACTATATATCGCAGCCGTCATACTTTGATGACCTGGATTATGTAAGCCTATTTTAAGATATAATTTAGACTAAACAATAATGGATAATCCCGACATTGTGGAGTGATGTTTTATCTTCTTGAATGCAGTACATTATGCCCCACAGACTTAACCAATGATTTTTCTTAGCTAGTAAGTTGAAAGTGTTGTATGATGATTGTGCTGTTGATGCAGAATGAAGTTGAAATAGAAGAGTTTAGGAGGGCTAAGCCTGATGCCATAGCACATTCAGCTACAAAAATCATATCCCGTCTCAAAGCTGGTGGAGAAAAGACCATGCAAGCTCTAAAATCTCTGTGTTGGAGATCCAAGGGTATTCAAGCGGAGGTAGACTCCGGATTTTAACCCCAAAAAAAAAGTTACTTATGACTAGGGTTGGTATCGGTTCGGTTACCGAACCGATAAGAGCAAACCGATACCGTACCGATTATTTCGATAACAAAATATGAAACCGTTACCGTACCGATAGTTATAACGGTTTTTATCGAAAAAACCAAAATTTACCAATAAATATGCAATTTGATTAAGCTCGGTTCGGTGACGATTTTTTACCGAAAAAATC